TCCATTACTACTGTTTTTGCAACCGGCCAGGTGGGTGGTAACCCGCCACAGAGGGGGGCAGTTAATGCATGGATCAATGTCGTCAACAGCACTTCCACGGAGGCGCTGGAAACTCTACGTGCTCTGTCGGTGAAGGGAGTGGAGGCCAAGGACAACTACAAACGGATTTCCAAGACGTGGTTGGAGACAAAAGGGGTGACTGATCTACGGAGCAAGCCGGAACAGCAAGCACTCGTCATGGAGATTTACTTGCGGTAAGAGATTGTCACGAGCACTTGGTGTAAGTTTAGTATAGACTGCCGTACGTAGTGATCTACTTTGCCCCGAGGCAACATACAAAACTCCCCGCAGATTAGGTGGGGCTTTTTCGCGACGGGGAGTCGACGGCGAGTGAGAGCAGTGTCTTCGATGGGGTCATCATATACAGCGGGCGGGCATGGTTGTGCGCGCGCGCCTACGTGTGTTCACGGGGGTACCGAGCGATGTCCACAAAAATAAACATCACGTGTTAGACGCAGTCCCTTTTGTCCGTCTGTGGAGTTTAGATGATGACAGCGAACAATTCTGAGTGAGGTTTATCGCCTTCCGTGTGTGCCTATTTGCATCAGTCTGCCGAAGGAAAAGCGCAAAAACGTGAAGCAGGACACCCAGAGCGTGTTGGAGCAGGCGGAGGAGACAATGAAGTGGATTGAGACCGTGCGATTCATCGTGCCACGAGAAGAGTGGTCGACAAAGCTGAAAACGTGAGTCCTACAAAAACACACTATAGTATTATTATTACATTTATCCGTGGACAGTTTGCCCGAAGAAGGATGATATGGATGCTGGCCGCGGTGGCCGCGCGTTGGCGTGTGGGTGTGTGTCTGGTTTGTTGGCACCGACCTCGACAACCGCCTGACTATTGTCAATGCGTCAGTGTCAGTGCGGTGGTTCACACGAACACATTGCGTTGGGTCTATTGGGTGCTTTTGTCGCGGATCGGACGCCGCCATGTCCTTCATTCTTTGTGTTTCGTCGCCGCAGCACACTCCGCCCAACCACGATCGTTGGCACCGGCTCTGCCTTCTTCGCATGGCGACAGGATGGTGACGGACTACTCATATGCGAAGACTGGGCACTACTCCCACTACATCAAGCCGCACCTACAACGAGTCGCAGCTAGCGTGGCGAAAATCGAGGGTCAGCTGCCGCACCACAGCAGGGAGCTCGACCCCACGGACAAGGACGTGCTCCTTGCGGAGCCTACCGACGCGATGAGAACCGTGAGACAGCGCACTGCTTGATAAGGATGTGACTCCCTCGCCCGCGACGCTAAAACCAAATACATTTCGTGTTTTTTTTCGGTGTCCACCGTGCTTGAAGTGTAGAGGTAATTTGTAGTCTGTGCGGAGATCCTCTGTATCCCGGTTAGTAGCCTTTTTCCTAGGTTGTTTTCTGTTTCTTCTTTTCGTTTTTGGGAGAAACACAGACCACGCCTGGGATGACATTTGCTCGTGTACATTTTTTTTTTCCGAAAGGTGCATCCCTCTAGGGCAATTGGCTTGTGACCACGGGAGGCGTCCGTGTCAGTTGTGGACCAGTACGGACATTAGAAGGTGCTGAGCGGAGACCGGAATTGTTTTTTTTAATGTGAAGACAACAAGAAAACAACAACATCAACTACGACAGCAGCGGCGATGGCATGTTTACACGTCTTTTACTTCATGTTTTTCGTCAGCGATAACCCGTTCTCTCGCGCCTCGGCCACTCGCTCCGTTCCTCTTTTGTTCCTCCGTGTCTCGGTGTATGATGTGCAGATCATCAACAAAGATCCAACAATGAGGCCCAAACTCGTGGAGTTCGATCGGAAACACCAATCCGTCATGGACAAGGCGAACCAGCTCAAACTACAGCACAGCCGACCGACGGAGAGCAGGAGCAGCAACAGCAACGAGGGCGCTCGGTCAACCCCGGCGGGATCGCCCGGCACTCCTTCTTCTCCAGCTAAGGGGTGCACACAGTGCGACGCACCGCTTGGTTCATGGTGAGAGTTTCCCAGGCTCAGGTTCTTCTGTACGTACGTACTCATTCCGTTTGTGTGCATCCGTTACTCCAACAAGAACCCATCATCGGAGGGGTTATGGTAGGAGCAAAGGAAAGCATCACGTGGGTGTACGTGGATGGACTCGCCAGGTTCTCATCACTTGCGGCCTCCGCGTTTTTTTTGTCCTGTCTCAATACCACAGTTACGAGTGCGACAAGTGCCACGTTTACCACACGGGAGGTTGCCGGAACACGACGGCTCCAGAAGGCGAGTCGGAGCTACTACGACGATGCAAGGATTGCGGAGTGAGCGCGAGCACGACGGTGCCGAACCCGGGGGCTGGGAAACGTGATGCCCCGAGTGGTTCTGACCATGGGGGTAGTCCGTCCACCCCGTCCGGCAAAGGCCGTGAGCCTGACCCTGAGGGGAGCAACGCGACCAAGAGGAGGCGTGGTCCTGGGCGCGCCCCGACGACTGACAACATACCCACCCCGAAACTACCGTCGTCGCCCGAAAAGGACGGCAAGAGCTTCATGCTCGCGTGCAGGTGGGGACCACAACATAGAGCACACAGCTAGCTGCGGGCTTATCTATTTTTGCTTTGCTAGAGTACATACAGGTATTGCGTTGCGTCATCTCCAACCCCCATCCATGCTGAGTGCAGAATAATGTGTTAGGTCCCGTCGGAAGCACCACAATCGTGAGCGCTGTCCACCCCATCCTTGTAGTACAATCGCTTGCATCGGATACATACATAGTAACCCTGCCCCCGAAGTATGTCCCTGTTTGGCGTTGTAGTCACAACGGACCTCCTACCTTGTTGTCGACCACCCGCTGCTTACAGGGACCAGTGGACCTACATGCACGAGCTGAATGTGCTGAGGGATGACTTCCGTTTGGATGACCTCGCCATGCTGAAGACGAAGCGGAAGGTGATGCTGCTCTCCATTGCACCCCAAAGGCATGGATATGAAGACGTGGAGAGAGCGCCTGTTAAAGATCTCCTACTCCGCTTGCGAGAAGCTGCACCCGAAGGGCACCGTTGTTGCCCTCGTCCCGCAGCCCTACTACGACCACGCGACGGCGATAGCCGGTGGGTTCACGATACACTCCGTAATATGTTTGTTATAGCTACGTATCAAGTGGGCGGCGACGTTAATTGACGCCTGTCAGTGACGCCTGTCAGTCAAGAAGAGGACGATTTCGAAGTTGTGGGTACCGTGGTACAGATTTCCTCCCCCCCCCCCATTACCTGGTCCGGCGCTAACCCTGGCAATGCTCCGTCCCGGCTTTGTAGGGATGCGAGGTCTATCGTCTAACGACTACGGCATGCACGACTATGAGTACACCCCCCCCCATTACCTTTTGGGCCTGGAAGCATGGTTTCGTTGATTTAGCCCCGGGGTAGAACGTTTTCGACCAAAAATACAAAAATATCGTTGATTTAGCCCGGGGTAGATCGTTTTCGACAAAAAAAAAAAAACAGATGCCCCCGGGTATTTCAATTCCCCCCCGGGGTACCCCCCACTCGGTGTTTGCCATCGGGATTGGGTTTTCGTCGCTTGGCAACGACGTTGTAAAACAAGCCAATTCACTTCGTGAACTCGGCAACCAGGTTACCGTTTTTTTTTTTTTACCTCGCTTTTTTTTTTTTTGGCGGTAACCATAATGGTGGTCGAGTAGATCATGTTGTGCGGGGTCGAGAAACCTCACTCCGCGCAACGGGGGATGATCGCACCACGTTGTGTTAAAATGGTCAAGCTTCCTCGAGGCAGTTACACAGTGCTTACAACTGTCTCTGGAAGTGAACGCACCAGAAAATAAATTAAGTCATACGTAGCTGTCATCCGTACGCAAGGAAGTAAGCACAAGATGCCGAACACCCTTAGCAGGATGCAGCTCACCCTTCATGCGACTCGCCAAATACCTCACGGCGCTTCGCGCTTGGTGATGTGAGAGCCTGGTCCGGTGAGAACCCGGCGTGCTCCGTCCCGGCTTTGTAGGGATGCGAGGTCAATGGTCAAACGACTACGGCGTGCACGACTATGAGGTACACCCCCCCCCCCCCCCCCCAACA